GGCTGAGACGAGCAGGCGTAACTGCGTACATACTGTAAAAAGTGGGTCAAGACTACTTCACATACAAAACGCTGCAGTACGTACTCTGTTGTGAGATGTTATTTCCGTCAACTGTGTCGAAACCTTAAAAATATTTTGTCAATAAAGTTAGAGAAAAACGATCCGTACTCTCCAGATCATAAAAAATAGAAACTTTTTCTTTTTTTGAACGCAAGTTTCGCTGTTCCGGGTTCTATGGAAGGTTAAAAAAAAATTTATCGTCTAGAGAGTATGAATCATGCCCCTTCCAAGTTGCTCGGCGATGCATCTGCTGGCTTACTGCGTTAAGAATCGCGTTTCGATATCTGTGGTGGGCAGAGCACAGAAAGCCCATTCTGTGGGTTTGTGCTTTACAACAACTAACCATTAACAACAAATAACCGTAAGGGTCTTTTTTTGTTTTCTAACATTATTGTCAGAATGTCTAATTCCCTCTAAAAAACAACAACTAACCATTAACAATAACCAACCGTAAGAGTCGTTTTTTGTTTTCTATCATTACTGTCAGAATGTCTAATTCCCTATATAAAAAAAAAATATATATTTTTGTAATTTAGTTTATTGTGGCACTTTTTAAAGCTGTATAGAGATAGGAAAAATTTCGTCCCCCAACACTTCGATGTTGGAAGCTGCTTTCTTCGAAAAATCAATTTTTGCCGACTTAAAGGTCTTTTTTATAAGTAAATTTTTTTTTTTTTTTTTTTTTTATAAAGTGTTAATGTTACTTCACATGAAAAGCGACGGCAAACTTATTGGAACAATTGGAAAGAAGCTTATGGGCTCTATGCAATTTTTTCACAGTGTTTTTGTTGTTATTGTTATCTAAGAAGCCAGCTTCGTTCTTGCATCTTGTGGGCTGATGTAGGTATCGTGTAATTGTGGGCTTATGTTGGCATCGTGTAATTGTAGTTATGGGTTTTTGGGTACCATGAAGTGTACGTTGGTTTTAAGAAATTTTTCGGTTGGTAAAGTGGAATTCCAAATTAGATAAAATAAGTAAAGGCACGTTTCATTTTTAATGACTACTAGGCATGGCACTGCAGTTTATATAAATATATATATATCACTTGTTTCATTTGATTGTTTCAGGTTAAAATTCACTTCAAGCTACACTAAGTAATGGAGTTCGTAAAAGCTAGATAAGTTTTAGCAGAACACCGTACTAAGAATAGTATACTTTGACAGCTTACCCTTCAGCACCATTGCAACGGAAATTGATTTTTCTTGCTCTGCTACGAATTAGACCTAAAAGTTGTAATCGGAGCAGAACGGTAGCTAGAGTGTAGGTGTCAGTAGAGTTTATAGGATTTCTATGTGTGTGAGAGAGAGAAAGATGGGGAGGGGAGGCGGTTGTATCAGAAAGGGTTCGAGTGTTATTAAATACAAAAAAATAGGTTGTTGTTTTTTCTTTAAAAGTTTCTAATTATTATTTTTAATTATCAAGGAAAAGCAGAAAGTACTTCAGTCACTAATGCTGTTTCAAACTATTTTTACGACAGCGGAAGTCACGTGACGCTGCTGGCTGAGTTTCTCCAATGATGGGGAAAGTCCTAATGTGCTCGAGATGCCCTCTTCGTTAGTATATAAGCCTGGCAGAGATAACCAGCGGGAATGAATGAAGAGAGAGCAGTAGTTACTTTGAGTTCGGTGTAATTTATGATTCTGTTAGTTTCGAGCTAGTGAGCCGTAAATTGTGTGTTTTCAACTCGTCGAGAGCGAAGTTATCGAGATTGTGAATCGCTGTGATTTATGGCGTGTATTATAAAGCTGTTAAATTTAAAGTGACGAGAAACGTACTGATTGTGGAACTATTGTATACTAAAAGTTTGTATCGAGGAAGAATAAATTGGTT